GATTGAAAGACGGAAATGCATACAATGGCGAAACATACAATCTCAGATTGAAAGACGGAAATGCATACAATGGCGAATCTTATATGTGCCAGTCACTGTGGTTGCATTGAATAAAGTTATTGTCTACGAAAACTTTTCTGAAGCTTTACAACAAAAACTCAATGGCAGCAAAAAGAAAAATCTGACGAGTAATAGAAGAAGCTGAAATAAAGACTTCATAAATTTCTCATGTCTCATTGTCTGAAGTCGTATCAAAGAAATAAAATCAATGCTAAATTTATTCAGCCGGACGAGACTAAAAAGACTGCGGAACCTGTTGATGTAGCCATCGGGACCTCGTGAATATCACGATACGAACAAATGTGTCATGAGCGCAGCATTTGCGTAATGATTTTTCATTGAATGCAAGTTGGCAATACTGCCTTTTCAATTAGTTATTGTATACTCTGCGAGTTCACGTTATCCGATTACAATAATGAAGTTAACTAAACTATTTATATCATTGTGATCACGTTTTGTAACCCCTAGAACTTGGTTATTTGTGATCACATTCTCTAGCCATTCACTTGCGTATATGCGTTTTAACGCGCGCTGCTAACTGTAAAGTTTATTTCTCAACGTTCGCGCAAACATAATTGAATATAGTAAGTACGATAACTGAATCATGTGACTGCATTTTTCGCGATACTCCTGTACTCGTTAGATCTGCACGATATTTTTTTCGCGACTACATTATTTAGCAAAATGTCAAATGCAAAGTGTGACTCCTATTTCTACGAAGTTGACCCTAAAAACTGGCGCTTTGTAGATTTTTACAGACACCGCCAGAGTCGAGGAGAGTTCAGTGCATCGTTTAAAACCGAAGCCCTCGTTCTGAGAAGGTCTCTAGACTACCAGCTGGAGAAAGGATCGGAGCAGGCTAAAGTATATGCGGAACGTCTTCTCGGCGTCTTTAGTGCAAGTATTCCTTTTTTTTTGGAACTGTAAATTCAATGTTTCTGCCCATGGCTACGGAGAACAAGCTTCGTGTTGTTCTCTTTATGATGCTTCGTGATCGTTGTGGGTAAAGGGATATTCAAGGGCAGTAAAGGTTTTCTACCCATGACTACGGAGAACAAGCTTCGTGTTGTTCTCTTTATGATGCTTCGTGATCGTTATGCTGGTGGAGCAAGCTTCGTGTTGCCCTTCAACGATCTTCGTGATCGTTGTTCTGCCTTGAAGAGTCCTCCATTAAATGTGGCTTTGCTATTTATAAACGGAAATAATTCTAACATGTTTATATTTTTCTTTTGGTAAGAAAGAATCATCGTAATTTGGAAGATGTCGAGGCCTTTTGGAAGATGGTCGAAACCCAAAAATCCGAAAAAGAACAACTCGAATGTTCGAAGGTAACTTCCCAGGAAAATATTTATACCACGTTAGTCCATGTACAGATACTACTATCCATCACATTAGACCCAGGCGTTACGAAGCGTTTTCGAAGGAGCGACCATGTACACGAACCAGGTATTTCAAACGGCCGTACAAAACTTAATCTCTGGCAATATTGTGGTATGTGCAAATGATGTTTGGGTTTTTTGTGTCTATTTTCCTCTTACAAGTACCGGCTAAAATGTTTGCAAAATAATTATCGGTACAATGACTGCTGGTAAAATTAATATCGATAAAATAATTGTCGATGGGATAAAATGAAACGTTTCTAACACGGAATTTACAAAAGAATGAAAGGAAACGACAACGACCTGCAGAGGAAAGCTATCCCATTTTTAAGCGCCCGCCTAACCTTCGTGACTGTGATCAACATGAAGAGGTCCACCATATAGATTGTATGGAAAGCCAGGAGGTAATCACGTGTTATAGCGGTCTTGAGAAAAACTTACTATCTAAGTTAAACAATTTTATGAATCTTATTTTCTTTATCTTATCATGCAGCATAGGAAAACTTCTGAAGATGTGTGCACTCCTGCACCTGGAGATATTGATGATGGGAAACACGAAAGTGAGGAGGAAAAACCTGAACAGATCGAAGTTGATCTGGAGGATCTTGCAAGGATCATAGATATGGTGCCCTTGATTGAGGTTTGTGATGGATTGAATCTTATCGTTTCTCATTTTTTTCCACATGTCTGATGTACTTATATATTTCAGTGGAAAGTTGAAGACATCAACATAACGCGGAGATTCCGGCTACACCAACGCAATGTGATTGATAGGGTAAAAAATGAAGGATTATCATGGATGGATTCGCCATATGACATTTTGTGAGTGTTATTAATGTTTAAAGCATGAATGTTAAGACTATATACTCACATAATTCAAATTTCAGGGCGCTATCATCGATATTTGTTCTGTCCCCTTCATGCCCGTATGCAGCAGAATTTACGTCCAGCGAATGGGATACTATCATTCGAAGCAAGCCGTGTATAATAGAACGGCCAATAATCCCACCATCTATATCTGCCACCCTGCATGAGGCAGCACAAAAACATGTGCTGGATGAGGATAGTTATGTTTATCCTGATAATTCTGAAATAAGCAGAGCAGCAGCTTCCGCATTTAATAAGCTGTAGGTGGACTTTCACTTCTTTCCGAAAAAAAAAAAGGCTAATTACAACATATATATTATCATAACTTAATGCTTTAGTCGCGATCTTCCTCAAGTTTCCCCATCAAAAATGTCATCCGAGGAAAAACATTTCTGTGATTTGTTGTATCCACACCTGAGTGCTGTATTTAAGCGGTCTCACAAAGATTATGAGGTTCAACTCAACCATGCTGTTAAGGGCAGTAAGAAAAGACCAGATTTTGCTTGCATCGTTGATGAAATACCAGTTCTTGTGTCTGAGGTTAAACCTCTGGGGTACACTCCACTCCAAAAGAAGAAAGATTTTGTAAAGACACACTTAAGGGCCAAAAAAGCACTAAACCAGCAATTAAATTTGAAAGGTGGCCCAGGTGAAGTAGGGCTATTTACAAATATGGGTATGTGAGATGCTCTGCTGGCTTGCCAATGTATACAATACTAATACTTGACACATTTGATCTTGTCTAGGCAACCTAGTTGAATCCTATTTTATGGACTTTAAATATGGATTGTATTGCTCATGGAATTTTCACACAACCAAACTTGCAACAGATAAGGTTTCAATGCCATTAGTGGAATCAACATTTAGCCACTTTGTAGCATTAGAGGTATAAATGGTTCAGGATAGTGTAATATATAATAATAATAATCATTCTTTTGAAACTAAAACCAGTATTGTTACAATTATAATTACATACAGAAACGGGTTTGCAAACTGGCTGCAGATTTAAAAAGACGCAAGCAAGCATTCACACCCCCACTACAAATGCAATTTATGACTGATTTCCCCAATTCACCACAGCTAAAGCAGTTGCTTGGATGAGAAATATTCAATTAGTATGACTTGCAACATGGAATGGGCTCTATGACTACAGACATCTTGCTCATCAAATGACTGTGTGAGAGTTAGAATAAACTAGAGATGCGTTTTTGTTAGTTTGGTAGTTTTATAGTGAGGATCTATTTGCAAAGTAGGATAGTGGTTGTTGTTTGCTGGGGAAGAGGTTTCTGTTAGTTCTTTTTTAATTTGTGCAGATTTCTCTGCAGCAATTGCGCGAATTGCATTGAATCTGGCAGAGGTTTGTTTTTGGTGTTGTCGTTGGTGTTAGTGTTGTTACTATTTTGTCGTTTGTTGATGTAACGGTTGATTTTAGAATGACAAAATTGGAGCTTTGAACGTCACAGTATAGAGTGTTCTCGTATAATCAATTGCGCCGTCGACTTTTACTCTACTATCTGGGTGGTAGACTTAAGAGATATTTATTTTGTGGGGAACGTTCGAATGAGCCTTGTGATCCGTTTTTACCCACTTACGTCATATGATACAGTGGTATCTGTAATGAGCGGCGTTCCGCTGACAGATAAATAAGTCATATCGCGTGCTTTCCAACAATTCGCCAGAAAAACTGGATCTCCCGCTGATCCCTCCGACAGCAGTGAGATATGTCAAGTCAGTTATATTGTCTATGAAAGCATAAGATGTTTATGGCCTATGTTGTGGAATTTGATGTCTTGAGGAGAAAGATCGGTAAAATTAGATGTGTGGGAAGGAATTGTTGAATTTTGAATGTGAGATTTGTATCTCCCGACAGAGTTAACCGTGCCGATGCCAATTAGGAAATTCTGTTCGGGGTATAATGTGGTATGCAGTTACTTCGATCGATCGAATTTCGAGACATAATTCAGGACTTTCTGACGTTGTATATAGATAGGAAGGAATAAAAGTGTTGTGGTGTGTTGTGTGTATGGTCGAGATCGCGTTTTACATAACCACTTGGACATTTTTTGACGTTTCGACTTGTAAATCAATATTTTCTATTTGAATGTAACATACAGTAAATAGTTGGTGACTACAAAGGGGGGTTTTTTTCATATTGTGAATAGTAAAGATCGGGTGATTGTGAAGGAGGTAAATCACTATGAAAATGTGACCGTATGAGAGGGGGTCGACTGTATCATGTTAACCACATTACGCATGAATCAAAAGATGAATTTTATTATATATTGATTAGGAAAATGCGGGCTATCTGTTTATATTTTGTTATTGCTTATATTTTGTTATTGCTATTTATTGTAATATTAATTGTTTCTGATTTACAGCAGGAATTTAGTTGTATTACAAGTCCCCACGGAGGGCATGGCAATTTACTATCGATCATTGCAAATCCTCTTCCACCTTCAGGCCTCTTATTTCTTCTTAAACAATTCCTTCAAATTATCCTCATTCTTCTTTTGTCGCACTCGCTCAACTTCTTCTGCACCACCCGTCTTCTTCAGTTTGTTCTGAGCTACGAATTCGCTCAGTTCGGCTTCGAACTCGTCTATCCGATTGGCGAGTTCTCGTTCGCGTGCCTTCTCGGCTTGCTCCAAAGCTCTAAGCCGTTTGTCTGAATTGGGCGATATGCTACGTACTTCTTGCATGACGGTCTTCAACCCCTCAAACCCTTCCTCATGTGGCGCAACACGGAATTCTGGCTTTTTCTTTGATAGAATCTCAACAACTTTCAGTATGTGATTGAAAACTTCAGACATTTTATCGTGGTCATCCTGCATGTCTTCAACCAATTCTTCTTGATGATTAAGGAATTTTTGTTCCTCCACAATAGTCTGTAATTCCTCCTCCCACGTCTTCTTCCACATTGGTTTAATTGTTTTGACATACTGTGCTAATGATTCAAGTTCTTGAGCGATAGCAGCCGATTCCTTCTGTATATGGTCCATGGACGATGAACGCGGACGCCATTTACGTTGTGTGACATCGGCTTTCAGTTCATCTATAATGTCTTGTAGCGCGTCCATTCGTTTCAAAAGATTTTTAGATCTCTCGTCCAGTTTAGCTTTGCCACTATCAATAAACGCTCTTGCACCACCAACATTAGTCAGAGCGAATTCTTTAATAGCTGTGGTTTTTTCAGACAGAGAATGTATGAGGGAAGTGGTACCACCCCGGAAGTCATTATACAGCTGACGCATTATACCGAGATCCCTACGGAGATTCCGGATCTCATCATATTGAGAACGTAATTCGTTTGTTATTTTTTCTACTAAGTGTTCTTTACTAGGATGTTGTAATGTTTTGTCTTCCTTATTTCTTACGTTAGCCAACATCTTACGAGCTATTTCTCGGAACTGTGTCTCCGATGGGGTAGGTCGTTGGTTATTTGCATTTGTTAGTAATACGCTTCCACGGCGCAATAACTCGGCATTCTCAGTGAACGTCTTTTTAATATCACGAATTTCTTTTGTAAGGTTCTCAATACTCTGATCAAAATGTTTCTTAACCTGTTCGAGAGCTGTTGATAAAGAGAAATAACTTTAGTATGGTAATATGTGTCAAATGTTTGGTAATAAAACCATCTTACTTTCAACGTTCAATGCCAAGACTGAATTATCTTTTACTTCATCCAGATTCTCCAATTCGTAGAGTATATCAAGCTTGGAATCCTTTATGTAAATATTTGGGAAATCATCTAAACCCGGATTATATTCGAATTTTTCGATAAATAACATTCTTAAGGCCGGGATACTCATGTCTCCGTCGTAGGATACTTTTTTAACTTGTTTGCCAACTTGAAGAAACAACGTCAACATCTTTTTCGTCGAATCATCTAATTTCATTATAGTATTAATGAATCGGACTTGTATAAGTATATAATCGCATATGTAGTATTGAGTTGCGCAATAAATACAAACCAAGGTTATCCATAACTTTAATCTCCGGTAGCTGATTAGTTTCCGAAGCTTCCTGAAACTCTTCCTCTATCACTTCCTTTGACTCTCCATCCACTTTAACCTCCACATTCGCCTTCTCGCTATCTATATTCCCATTTTCCCTTTCTTCTATTGTCTCATCCAATTCCTCTTTAACCTCCAATATCTTTGGTCCAATTGATCTCCCATACATCTCCTGTGGACCTCTTACACCACCTCGTCTTGCGTCCCTAGTTGATTTCATCACGTATGCCGACTGCCTTTTTGAGGCTCGTCTTTCCAAAACATCGCTTTTCTTCAATGCAGCGAGCGGATCAGAAGTGCCAACGAAATTATTCCTCGACGGTGCGCTTATGTTTCGTTTTAAGGTAGAATTTGGAGAAGCATCTGATAGACCAGCATCCGATTGCAGCGTGCCCGGTGATGACCACGTTCGAGAGGGTCCGGATCCGGATCCAGACCCAGACCCAGACCCAGATCCAGATGTCATACTCCCAGTTGTCATTTGCCGTGTTAGTCGAGTAGTTTCCGAAATCCCCATTCTTTGTCGATATAGAGCTTGGTTAGCTTTAAGACCTTGGAGAAGAGAAATTATAACGTCACGGATTTGAGGAAGGTACTGTTCCAGGGATTCTGGGGAGGCTTCCTCGCTTAAGGCTTTTTCGAGGCATTTACGGAGTTCTTCGGGTATGTCTTTCAGGTCACTGGTTTTGAAAATTTGAAAGTGCAAAGCTGAGATACACAAACACACCACGCCAAGTTGAATTCTTGAACGCAAGTGAGGGCTCTATTGAAGACGTGAAATGCAACGAACGCAACTCACCTTGTTTCGAGTCCCACCCGATTGAAGACATGACATACTCCGTGGAATTCTCCAATCAGTTTGACGTATATGTCCGATACCTGTTGTTCCGTTGTTCGCTTTTGGCTCCAGGCAGTTAACCCTTCTAAAAGTTGCTTGGTGCATACCAGTAACTTTGTTACTGATTGTTCGATATTGCTCATCTGGGATAAAATTGTAAGAAAGTTGTTACAGAGAGCTGACGAAACAGGGTTACCGTCGGAAGATCTGTACTTACTGGACTGCCCGAACCTCTCTTTTGAGGGGATGCGGGAGACTGTCGTGGAGCATTAAGAGGCGAAGAGGTAGCAGAAGATTGAGTGGCGATCTGAGGCGTAGGCATTTGAATACTAGGGTATTCCATTATTGTTGTTGGCGGGCTGTTGGAAAGCCCTAGCTTCTTTCATCGCAAGGCATCTGATTCCTTTGAGAAATGATAAGGTTACTAAAATGTCATGTGGTTTGATCATGTGACGTTAACGAGGTGCCCTTATTTTATTATTATTATTATGCACCTGTACCTAAGCTTCTGTCGAATGACAGCTGAACAAGGATATATAGTAAAGCATGTACAGTAGTGGCGGAAAATAATGAGAATTTTATGTCTGCACATAAGTAATAATGTAAATTTATGAAAATAAAAATCTAATGGTCGATTGTTAAACCCCCTTTTTCAATAACAGTTTCTAAACGCGTTTTCATTCCAGAACATAAATTCGATAGAATAGATTTATCGATGCTATCCCATTCTAGTCGAATAATCCGTAAAAAATCACCTAATCCAATTGATTTTTTTGGTAAAATACGTTGATTTACCTTCTTTTCTACCCTTTTTTTCATTATTTTCTATAGGGTTTAAGTCGGGTGAGTAAGAAGGCCAATCGAGAACCTTTGGACATGTTTCTTTCAGAAGTTCCTTTGTTAACCTGGCAGTGTGCTTGGGGTCGTTGTCTTGTTGGAAAAATCCATGATTTCCCCCAATAGGTTTGAAGCATTAGAGAAAAGATTTTCCATTAACATTTTCCGGTAAAGCTCCCCATTCATGTTTTCGGTAAAACAATGAAATCCGACAACTCTCTGTGAACAGAAAGCACCCCAAGCATGAATCTTGAGTGGATGTTTGACAATTGCACGCCGCGGCTTTTCTTGTTCCACTTTATATCTTACTAAAGTAGTATTGCGAAATAATTGGAAGGTTGTCTCATCAGAAAAGACGACTTCTATCCAATGTTTATTAATATGAGACTTTGCCCATTTGACGCGATAATCCTTTGCATTGGCTGTTAACATTGGTACTGAAACTGGTACACAAACGCGATAGCCGAGGTTGTAGAGGTTCTCACGGACTGTTCGTGGTGCAATATTAAGGTTGGTTAAGCACGTGAGCAATTTCTTTACTACTAGCACATTTTTTTGAACTTGCTAGTTTTCCAAGATGTATGCGCTTTTCCGCAGTAAGTTTTTTTGGCCTTCCTGGGCGGGATTTGGGTTTCAGGGACGCTGTTATTGAAAGTTTTTTGATATATTTGTATAAAGTAGATATAGGAATATGTGTTATCTTATTATTATTATTACTGATCGCCTTTGGGTCAATATCAAAGTAAATTGCTTAGGCATTTTTAACAAAAAAAAATTATGAAAGTAAACAAAGAACGCGTTGTTAGTTCAAACATTATTTTTATTTATAAATTTAGTATCTGGTGTAACTTTCTATATATTAATATATTTTTTCCATAATAAATAAACCAGGGAACGTGTAAATATTAAATAAAGCGATTACATAAAATTCTCATTATTTTCCGCCACTACTGTAATAAGGTTTGTATATTTTATGAAAATGGCTTAGAGGTAAAGAGAAAAAAAATAATAATAAGGGAAAGTAAAAGGGTTGAATTGTATAAAATAATAAATAAGAATATTATTAACAGTAATAAGTAATAGTAATAGTAATACTTATCAATGGCTTTGGAGTATTTTCCTCTCATGCAATCACTTTGGTGCATTTAGTATTATTTATATTTTCAAGAGTGCATACATTCAATAATAGTAATCAAAATAATAAAATTTATGCTTACAAAAAATTGAATTATTTTTACATGTGTCAAAGTAGTGAAATATTAATATAATCAATACTCAATGAATGCGCTTGTGCAGTCTTTATCAATAATAATAATAATAAAGAACAAACTTCCCTTGACAGGTCATTCAATCAGTGAAGGTGTTGTATGTTGGCAAGAAGGTTTTACATTCACATCTTTTTGGTTCATCATGTGTTGGTGTTAATGCTCATTTATTGATTTTTATTTTATATTTATGTTCTTGTTGGTAAATTTCATAAGTAATTTTTTCTCCTTGATATTGAGCTTTTTTAAGAATGCTTCTAATTGTGCTATAATAATAATTCTTTGGTTCTATAATAATAGTAGATTTAATGTAAATTAGTTTCATATTCATAGAGATATTAATCATACTGTAATTTTAGGCAAAATAAAAAGTTAGCCTCAATAAGTTAAATGTTAGTTACAGTTCATTCTGGCATAATAATATTGTAATTTAACAAATTTTAATTTAATGGTAAACTTGTTTGCTGTATATTTACTATGTAATGTATTCTGATCTTTAGTTTCAATTATTCTCTTCAGCTTTAAGTTAGATAAAAAAGTAATATCAATGTCAAGTTCATTGTCACCATCTTGATTAATTATAATAGCTCGTTTATGAGAATGAATTTGGCTAATAGAAAGTCCTCTGATTCTGACAATTCTTCTCCTATATTGTTGCAATAATCAACTCAGTTACCAGCATATAATGTACAGAGACGGAACCTTCTTCAGTTTCGACGACTGTGATCCTATTAGATGGATACCCGTTTTTTGCCAAGCGTGTGTTATTGTCTCGGTGTTACCTGGTTCCATGCGATTCCAATAAATTCGATAGCTTCACGAATATTGGTTTGAGAAAGAGACTGGTTTTGAATTCGATCAATACAATAAAGTTTTCGATATTACCGCGGCACAGTGTTTGACGACTCGACTTTAAATTTACAAACTGCATTTCCATGACATTACAGTATAAACTGCCTTTGATAACGAACAGCTCCGCGGTACATATAAAGTTTCGCAGCAGCAAAAGTGTTCTTTAGGCGATCATCTAAAGGATGCGTTAAAACGACATCAACCAGTCCACATATGTCAGCTGATAAATATGGCCTGCATCAGATGATATCCAGCCGTAACGTTGCATGCTTCTTTGACTCGACCTGATAGAAAGACGATTGGTTGCAGACTGGTATTCTTTCTTTATCTATAGGTATTCCCTACAAGATGAAATGGCAAGTTCTAATAAACCATTATAGAGTATGGTAAATTTTTCTGTAACAAAGTAAACTGATTCTTGGGTAAATTTCTGGATGTAAGTGTCTTCAACTAAGGTATTGGTGTTATCTAAGATGGGTAACCAAAGTGTGTGGGCTTTTGAAACTACAAATCATGTCGGCGTCACACGGCCGTATGGTTGATAAACGACAAGCGTTGATTTTATGCGAGAGGATGTTTCGACGTGATTTGCGTATAAGTTAAGTTGGCATACATGTGGTCGAGTTCCAATGATAATTACTGGGGAAATTGGTGAAAGATCTCTTACGAGATACACGTGATTGTTGATGACTTAAAATCATTCACAGAAAAGAACGCGACACGTCAAAGTCCTCCTGCCGTTAACTTTTCTATACTCTCAGGTAGGTTCCGTGTACTTTAAACATCTGCTAAGCGCGAAAGAAACGTCTGCGGTAGACTGTGATCTGTCGGAACCAACGATAACGAGTGGTGGCCTGCCGATTAATTTATTGACAAACACTATACTGATATGTTTTGGTTTAATGTCGCCGACACAATGACTAAGAAACAATCCCGCGAGTATTGTCGGCAAAAAGATGTGAACTGGATCTTAACTTCCCCGAATCCAACACTCTTGGCGTTTTTTCCGTACGATCTATCCTGGACACACTGAGGACCAGCCACTCGCAAATACTGGATGTCTTCATGACTGCGCTGAATCAAAGCCAAGACTTAGGAGAAAAGACAGGGCTAGAAAAAATGGAAACTGATGTACATACGTATTTGGGACTCCCAATTGAGTTTTATGAAGTAGGACTAATAACATTTCATCATTACATTACAGCATTAGGAAGAAGTGATTCAATGGAACTGGAACAGTATGGATAGAAAACAGCGGTATGTTTATTTATTGCATGTTTTGCTATATACCAGGGGAGGATATTGTACCAGGGGGGTCCATAATAATTTTTGTAGTAATTTTCTTGCAATCGTATCAGTATTAGTATTAATTGATAATCGAAAATTTGCATCTTCAGCATTCTCAAGTATGCCTATACGCGGGAATAAAGGTATTCGTTATTCAAATACAACCCAAAAGGTACGTCGTCAATGAAATGCACGAGAAAAGTTAATCATAATAATGTATCATGAAAGTACCCCGGATACTTTACCAAAATAAATGAGAAGAGACTAGTATAAAACCTGGGTACTAATCAAGGGGGGTATTATACCAAGGGGGTACTAGAACCAGTGCTATACGGTAATTGCTGATATTTATGTGTGTGCCCTACAGATTGAGTTCCATCAAGAGAATCAATATACAAATATTAAACTACAGAAAATTTTTTCACTTGTAGAGAAGAAGGTAAGTTATTTATTAGAGTAAATTTAGTACGTACATAATGTTTTATAATAGAATGCAAATATCAACATTAATTAGGTGGCAGAAAGAAACTGTGAGGATTACAATGAGGAGAACAAGAGGGTAATGTCATAGAGAAAGTCGGTAAAAAATGTTGATGTTATTGGTATATATACCTCCTTCAGTTCAACCGAAACCATGTCTATACGTTTGTAGAAAACTGAAGACAGTCTTGCTATAACTTCAACAAGAGTTACCCCGAACATTAAAAGATATTTGGTTCATCTTACCAGCCATAATATTAGAATGAATTTAATATTAATATGCCAGATTATATGAGCCACGCTTCTGCTTACGCTAGGGGCTTTTTTTTTGAGCCTGGGCCAAGTGGAACCTCAAATAACACCTCGGATACTGAGGAAGTCAAGAGAAAATCTGGATCATGGTGAGAATGCCAATAACAACAGAAATGGAGACTGTGGAAATAATGGAACAGAATACTCAAGTATCACTTGTCATCTAACACACGCAAGCGCGCAAGGACGTACGTTTCTCTCCTGCTATCGTCTCAAAACCTCATCATATCCCTCGCAATCTTGTAGTACTTTAGATAATCAAAAGCAATGGATCTTGTCCAGCAGTACAGATGTTGCAGCAGTTATCCTCAAACCATACCAGAAATCCAAAAGTTCATGATTGCAATTTCATTCATGATAATGAATATGGTGTAAGCAATTTAAATTGTTGCTAAGGTAAGTGTGGCAGAGAGAAATGGCGATGAGGACAAAAGGAGCTATATACTTTGTATCCGGTTTGCACTATACCAACTCACTGCATGCAGATAAAATGTCGAATTGATGAAGTTAGAGTTTGATTATCACAAATCCAAGTCGCAAGTTGAAAGAGTAAACCAAATGGCAGAAGATAGCTATGAATAAATAAGAGAAAAATGCAAACCCAACCGATGAAAATCTTTTAATGAGTATCATGTGTACGTAGACATATTAATGTTAATATTAATACACTCTAGACAACCAGAAAAATTGGTACTTGGGTACACTGTTAATGACAGCCGACCAAAGGTCAATATTACTGTCAACTCGCCAAGATTAATTAAAAGCGTCACTGCAGTTTTGAGGACCGATCGCATAGTGTTGACAGTGAAAATCTTGTTCGTAAATTTATTTTAATTAAATATGTTCACATCATATGGTTTGAATGAAATAGAATACCGTCTGTATCAAGACGAAAACATTTTAGAAATACACGAATAATTGGCGTGACGTGATGGCAAATATGCCAATATTACAGTAATCCAGTTGCTCGTGTATTATATAAATAAAATTGGCATATGTTTGGTATCGGGTAGAATAATTGAACGGTTTACCAACCTCGACAGACAGAACAGTCCTGGAGGGAAAAGCTTCGGATACATACCAAACGGTATAATCACGAGCTCACCACGAACTGAGAAGAGCACTAATGTAAATACATAAATGTAAGTCTTATTGATACATCTAACAGCATAATTATTATTGAACGATTTGCCTTGGTTCATAGAGCAATTGTCAGTCAAATGGGGAAGAGTTCGCTAATGTCCACTTGCATTAATCCCGCTTCACCTTCTTTACACGTTCTATCTGTTTCTCTTCCCCACTGCTCTCACCACTTCCAAATCGTATCTTACGTCTTAATTCAAGGAAGAATGTCATTTTCTCTTCTTTGCCTTTTTCCTTATCCTGCTCTTTCCCCTTTTCTTTTTCAATAACTTGCCTCTTACGTCGCTTAGACTTTCTCGAAATGCTTGAGGCTGAACTGTTTTCTTTTCCTTCCTCTTCATCGCCCGATTCCGAATTGGTATTTTTTGATTTCTGCGCTTTTATCGCATTCCGTGCTCCGGATTTAGATGACCCAGAAACAGAATTGGATCGTACTTGTTTTCGTCGAGCACTCTCTGAAGAAACGCTGACATTATCCTGAGACGCTGACATTCGTGTTTGTCTTGACAACTTCGGATGCACTTTGTGTAGTGACTTTTTTCGTAATTTCGATGGTTTTTTGTCCGATTTGTCCGGTTTTAGACTGCTCGCTGGACTACTTAATGATGACCGTTCCTGCGTGGATGGCCTTACTTTCGTTGGATTTATTTGGTTTACTTCTCGAACTTGTCGCTTCAAATCTGGATGAAGACGAGAACCAGTAGGACAAAGTGATATTGAACAACGTAACAATGAGAATCATATTTCGATCATATAAAGTGACAATGCATACCAGATGTTAGATAGTTTTATTGACAAATTGTACAAATTCCCGAATCGAAATCATCGCGAGGCATATAATGGCAAATATATATATATAATAGGTGAAAAAAAGGAAGTATATAGTTAATATTGATTATTGTAATGCATTATGCAAACCCACGCATATATTCCCAACAAAACAAATTGTCGTTCAATTATCACATTAAGAAATCTACCGTATCTAATTAAATAATTTCTTCAACAATAAACAGTATCCAAGATAATTCAACAATTCGACAGCCAAGAGATGACCAAAACAACATTGGAGAAAAAATTTTAAATCCAATAATAACCCGTACTAAAATTGTCATTACCGCTTGCAATTTCACCGTTCGCATTTGATTCTTCATCTCGTCTCCTTCGCTGTTTTTTATTAGGTAATGGACGACTTCCAAGAGACTTTGAACGAGTTAGGTTTGCTATAGAGTCACCAGTCGTACGATCCCCATTGAGCGATGGACGGCGAGTTAACAGCTTAGGTGGAGGTCGTGGATTATTTAAATCGGCGGGTTCTATTAATGATTGAGTGTTACCCTCATGATTAACTGGTCTTGGCGGTGGTGGCGGCGGTGGCACTTCGCTTGATGTTGATGCTATTGCCGAAGTAGAAGGCTGCGCTTGCGGAGAGGATATGTTGCTGTTGCTGTTGCTATATGGAACATTTATCAAAAAATAGCTTTGATAATCTATCAAAAATTCTACAACTTCTTGCGATAGTTTGTACTGCTCAGGAGCCATGTCATGATCGGGATGAGAAAGAATACCCGGTTGGAATATGGAAGCCAGATTCTTCGACGGCATCAGGTTTTGATCCGCCTTTGATGAAAATACTGCGAGAAGATCAAGAATATAGAGCAGTAGGTTCTGATTCTCTTTCGGAATTTTTGCAATCAGTTTCTGATATGCCAGTACTCTTCTGTGTGCGTCCGGATAATTGACTTGAAAAAGAACGAGGAAAAGATTGAGTTCAAATGAAATATTAACAAAACAAATGAGCGACAGACACATATATAATTTTACCTAGAACGCGTCTGAACGGTTCGTACCATTGATGTGGTATCACTGGGTCAGGTAGATTGTTCAGATATCTTCTTAGCACGTTAGCGGCATCATGGACTGAATATCCCAACCAGGTCAATGTCTTGCCATAGGAGGGAGGTGAATCAAAGATTGCCTGCAATTCTTTTATTCTCTTCGCGGATCCGCTAAGTCTAAATATACCTTCGGTAGGTGTAGCTAGAATAATTGAAAGTTAACATACTTGTAGACATATCAATATGTATCTCCAATGGCATATATTATACTCTCATTTATTTTTACCTCTCACAAAATATTGTTAAGATTGGAATACGTAACAATACCTTTCTCCTTTAAATACATCCCGCATTTAGCAACTATAGTAGGGATATATCCATAAACATATTGTCGTCCATCAGCACCGGCCATACATATTGGAACGCTTGCGTACTCAATGGCGCGCGTCAGATCTGTTCCGAATATCGACTGTGGTCCTATATTTCACAATAAATAGAGAAAGTACATATTGCAACTGTTACCCTAGTAAGAGTGGGGGGCTTTCTAGTGTATATATATTACAAGTCCACTAATTCCAGAAATAAACACCTCGAAACTCTTGAAATAGCTCCATTCTGGCTGTGAGCCATACGGTTGCCATTCGACGTCGGAGGGTTCTAAGTCTGATAGATCGAACACTAAACGGTAAGTATTATTTATGTGTCTACTTACCACACGTTCCTTTTCCTTTATCATCAGGCCCCTTCTTTGCAGTCTTTGCTGTAAAATGCTTCCACCAATTTTTTAAGTTCTGTCTCGTAATATTACTGTTGTCAAGAAAATGTGAATGCGACTGTGACATCTCGAGCAGAAGGAAGTAAGGAGTGCTTAATATGCGAAAATCGCATCTGGGTATATAAAGAGGCAATCACGTGAGACAAACGAGGTAACAATAACTATAATATTAATTAATATATGTATATTAAATGTTCATGTTTATTCTGATGATGAGAACGTTTAGATTTACAAAGGACCCGTTTCGATGTTCATTGTCCACTCATTGGAGTCCAGATGTCCAAATTGAGAGATTATGGGGTAATGGTAATAACCATTCCTTGTCAAACGCTTTTTGTAAGAACATTTGGCTAAATTGGTACTTGAAGACATTGATTCGTTCATTTGTTATATAAATTTACAATGGAAGTCCCTACTGTATTTTCAGACATGTAGTAATCTTTATCTCCTTCGCTTATCACGCATTCTGTTTGCCGTTAAGCTATGGGAAAAAATGCATATTTATTCGACACCCAACTTTGTTAGTGTCTCCTTGAACTATATATAGCTTAGACGTTTTGTATTGTACTGTATTGTATTGTTCGCCTTTTATTTTTTTAATACGAGTTCCGCCACATACAATGCATGAGACTCGCGCAAGAGCAGGCACCTCGAACTCTTGCCCACCGATTTAATTAAGCTTCGATACCAGTCTTGTGAGCGTACTGTCCGACTTGAGCATTTCATGGCTTGAAATCGGGCTGATGAGATATGATTTCAACAGACAATATCCTACTGGGTACTAAGCTTTTCCGACGAAACATTTTCGGTCTAAAAACTACGTTCGGAAAGTGAACGAGCCAATCACGTCTACTTATTTGAAGAGAGATTGTTTGTCCCTTGATGTAAAAGAGCGTGTAATATTACTTGCAAATCAAGGTGCCTAAACAATAGTGTTGAAAAGAGGAATACGAATATTATATTAATTACATTGAACAATATATAGTAATAGGTCATGATGTTTTGAACGCTATTGTCCATTCGTTTAATCATTTCATTTTGCTATACGAAACCTAATTGGTCGCATGCGCACTGGTAGTTTGAACGCGTTACTTCGTAGTCTACGGCGAGAATATTAACGAGGTGTGCAAGAGTGAAATGTACATAAAATCAAATTACATACACAACGAGAACAAAAACATTTGAATTTCAAAGTGTAAAGTTTTACAAAGTAGTGATTGCTACCTTTACATCACAGAAGCCTTCCTATGACCTTCGATGTCTCCAAATATGTATAAAATAACATTAAACCACTTTTTTACATGATGATATTTAAGTGCTTTGCAAGACAGTTTCTCATATTTATTGTCCAATACAGATCACGTATTAATATTACTATGGTAGGACGACCGACTGTGCGCTTAGAAACACAAATATCTTAGTACTAGTTAATTAACACATATTAATATTATTATAATCGGTAATAAAATCAATTAAGGCTATCATCGAATTGCGTTATTTGTCCAAGCATAAAACTAGTTGTTGAGCCAATACGTGTATGCGCTGCGTCGTTGTTGCAGGCTGAAGTGGATTAGGTAAATCTGTAATATCAGATCAAACGAAAAAGAATAGTCGATTTATTCTAAGTTCAATCGTATAGTTTAGCACTGTAGGCGAGTATAAGTTTTACAGTTCCCAGAAAGAAATGTCGGTGGATATTTTACAGAAGAAAGTTCTAAAATGCCAATGCGAGACAAACCGCTTGGTTTTGATATAATAATGTTTTGTGTTACCAAACATCAAACAATGGAACGTTGATTTAACAAGTGTTATATTGTCATATTAATATCGTCTTTTACAATTCTGGAGTTCGGCCCCCACCTAGTAATAAAGACCGCATCGTATGATATTTATATTAAGCAACACGTGATTTTAAAAAAATACCGTTGTTTTTTCTGGTAAAATCAACTCCCAGACATGAATTTTATCAATAATTTCCGATTAGTAACTTAAATAGCTAATCAAATTTTAATTTCCATTTTTCAAAAACGTAACTTAAGAATTTACTTACAATATAACTGTTTGTTTGCCAAAGCCGGAGATATCTCATCGAGAAAATGGTGTAACAAATTTTATCGCACAATCTCTCGTTATTCTAAGGAATTTTCTCCATAATATGTAAACTGACCTTAGATTGGATGTGTGTCAACTTTGCAACTTTACCTTTTACACATTCAATTGGTTGAAGTTCACAGCGATGAAGAGTGTACAAAAAAAATATGATGATATTCTGAAATTGCCCAATAGCTTGAGTTGTAACTTGCATAAATTTGTATCAGATAATTACAATCAACTGGCTTCAATTCGTCTCTCTTTAGTTGGTTTCTTTTTCATATCAATCCTTTTCTTTTATTCGTCCGATACTTACTATTACGATATTTCGATATCTGTTCGGATGCTGTAATAACGAATTAAATATTTAAGAGACAACTTTAGGGTCAACCCTTCGCTAGTCAGAAAGTCACAACTAGTATATTTACATTGTCGTTTACGCAAAAGTAAAGCTAAAGCCGATTACTATTTGCTCTTCCGCGGCACTTGGTCCGATAATGTTTCATTGCATTAAGTAAAAATTTTCTCATTCTTAATCTAAACTCATGTTCCTGTTGTTACTAAGCATATATAATCTCTTCGCTGAAATTTTACAAATGTGAATTTTCCTAGTCCATGATCGTAACTTGCTATTACTATTGGAATAAAAATCTATCTAATTATAATTTGAAACGCAAGCTATTGTACTATACTTTAAAATTACTGAATTATTACCAGCAACTGTTACTGAGCATGAACTGAAACCATTTAGTATGGACTTATAAGCTAGAGTCTCGGTAGAATAGCCTATTCACATTACCCTCAGGTCAGCAATTCGCTGTCTAATTTTAACAATGCGCATAATTAAGACTATCTATATTCTGAGAAATTTTATCACAACGAAGTGCTCGCTTTAAGCTGTTACAATGAATTGTCATGATCTACAAGGCATATTTTTAATATTAAGAGCAAGTGAAATAATCTTCTGACTGGATAGTAATAGGATGAAATTTTTAAGAGCATTGCCAAAGGGTCTTTTATTATTTATTTATTTTTTTTGTAACCGGTTTTCACATTTTCGAGAACTCATCTTGTTCCCCATTACTATATTTTCTAAGTGTTCCCCTTTATATTTATTTAAAACAGTATTTCTATTTTAATAATTACACTTAATCTGCTGTCATGGCTCTGTGGTCTAGACGAATGATTCGTGTTTCGGGTACACGAGGTCCCGGGTTCAATTCCCGGCAGAGCCCTCAATATTTTGCGCCAAATGACATTTGCCTGAAACTAAGCATCCCAATTAACGATATGCTACGACATTACCTGAGCGGTGCAGACATACAGTTTCTTAAAGCCACAAGCCATTTTCGACAGCGTGTACGTTGTGTGTGGGGATGTACGCTTCACGTTTTTGCTTCCAAATGATGTAGCCCGAAGTAAGACAAATCTCGTTGATCGAAAACCCTCAAGGATCATTTGATTGCACAGATAGTGATATGGCTTTACTGTTACAATGTCTGCTACGGTTACGAAAGTATCGACCCTGGAAATACTCGTATGCAAGGAGACCTCTGACACAAAAATGTACCAAGGAGGGCTAGACATATTCGCAAAAGAAAGGATTCTCAACAAATTTACGATAGTTTTCGGATGATTCTTAGAATAGAAACTTTCACATGACGAAATCACGTTCACTTTTGGCAAAAATAGCTCTGACAGAGAGAATAATGACCTGTCTTGTTCCTCAAATGCCAATTGCCAACAACGGAAAGATAAATTACAATTGACTTTAACCAAACTAGGATAACAAGTTACAGAAGGCTTTGAAAGCAACGGCAAAGAGAATAATGGGAACCGAAAGAGTGGAAAGAGACATCGTAACGCGTCGGGATTCGGATGAACGGAATAAGGATAACGAGAGCGGGGCGGCGAAGATGAGAAACTTGTGTCACGAAGATATAAAGTCTACTCGCGAGATCTAAGGTTTAATGATAGCAGCGATGACGAAATATTGTCGGAACAACTGTTAGACAACCCACTGCATAGGCCTGATCTAGGCTATGCAACGTATCAACCAAGATTAATATCTTTGTCGAAAGTTTCCTCTGTCATAATCCTGAGTCTCGTTCGTGTTATCATTCTTATGTTGCGCTGCGCCATTAGGTTACTAAGATCCAACCCTAACATATCAAATTCTTCATTTCGTGGCCAAACTATACGATCTGCCTGAATTAATACATCCTTTCTATATCTTCCCTTCACTATTATCACGCTTCCTATTCATCCTTATTTTTATTTCCGGCGCATTATCAAATTGTATCGTCTTTAAATCATCCTTCACTTTTTTCCCAAAAATTCCCCCTCTCAACCTTACCCAAAGCTCTCATTTACATCTAATATTTCTTTTTTGTATGGTTTCTAGCATTCAATCGACCTATCCGGCTTGGATCTGAATTCTGATAGATCGCTTTCTGCACTCACGTCATTACTGAATAATTTTGATAATTCTCTTCAGCACGCGTTATAGCGTGGGCTTGGGTTTTGCCTTGTACCATTACTATAACACTCTCTCAATCCCTCAAGAGAGGCATTATTAGAGTTCATTCTACTCATCCTACTCAATCTATGGTCAATATACTCACATGTTATTGCCATTAAGTTACTAGTTGCCTCAAATACAAGTAGAACGATGTCGCAGTCTCTCAGCTGTAAGCATTGACGCGTGGTAACCGATGGTAAATAAGGTAATCATTCGGCTTATTAAAAATTCATTTCGATCTTGGGGATCCTGTCAGCAAGCGATAACAAATATGTCTAATTTATCTCACTACTGAATAGACGGGTTAGGCACGTGATAGTCTTACCCACGTTCGGTTGCATTCATACGAATATACTGTACATGGTGTCTAAGCGATAAATGGTTGGGTAAGTTTGTTAGTTATTGTGATATAGTTACACTGCTGGAGGAATTTGTTATACCATGTGAATTGTGGATGTGTGAGGGTGATTTTTTGTCTGTTAGTAACTAATGCTTCTCTATTTTGTAGCATGGGGATCGTGTGATTTAAATGCAATGACGAATTCTTGGTAGGAAGGAATATCATTGTAATTTGGTCTCTTGAACTTACCAAATTTGACTCTCCGTTTTTTCCTTCACCTTTGCTCAATTTAATACGTCTATATTGCCTCAAACGATACGCACTATTCCCAATCAAATTATTATCTATAGCCAAGTTTCGCCAGAGATCGGTATTCATGTCGTGAGACTGGTAGATATCGAAAAGTTACTATTGTCATTAGTTGTTAAGAACCATACACTCAGTGGAAAAAAGTCACCGGACACTTTGTATATTTGAATATTGCTCGGGATAATGTATAATAAAATGACTGTGAATTTTTACCATAAATAGTTTAGCATCCGTAAATCATTCTATAGTGGAACAGTCGCGAATATTGATGTAAACAAAGT